GGGGCAGTTCGATGCCCCAGGCAGTGTCAGGGGTGACGGAGGCTGTGGTCACTCCTCAGGAGTGGTGGTGTCTGGAGTCTCTCCTGAAGCCCCTTCTGCTCTCCCCACCCAATACCTTCAGGTGATACCAGGCTTCCTATTACCCCTCTCTTATGACCCTGCTCAGCAGCCCATGACACACCCTAGCTCTGCCCGTCCTAACTGGGACGTGCAGGCGGTGTTGCGGGGGGGTCGGGCTCGGGGACCACTGATGCCCCATGGGGTGCACGTGAGGTGCACGGAGAGGTTCAGGCTACAGGCCCAGCCAAAGCCTGAGGTATGACCAACACATGCTGCACCTCAGACAGCCCCCCATAGGTACACATTGGAGTCGGGAGCAGCAGGCTGGGAAAGCAGAATAAAAATTGACACCCAAGGGCCACTTTCTAGGGGTTCAATGTGCTGCAGGGTGCCTGAGGTGGGCCCCAAAGCCTGTCCCCGAACCAGCCTTTGCAGACCTCACCACTGGGTGCGACAGGGAAGTCGAAGCGGCTGATCCCAGTGAGGAGCCTCCCAGTAGGGTGAGGGGAAGAGATAACCGGGCTGTTCTCCAGGACACAGACCCCAGGTCATGGCCAAGTCCATGGGAAAGCTGCTTTAGGCCAGTTCCCAAAGCCTTGGTGACCACCAAGCAGAGACAATTTATTGCCATCGGCTGCATTGTTCCCAAATGCCGGGGAGGTGACAGGGAACGGCCGGTGCCCAGGTGCAGACACCCAGACCACGGCCAGCGGGCACCTGGTGCGGGACCTCCCAGACATGAACTTCACTGTCTGGGCCCATCTGCAACCTGGAGTTAGGAGACAGTCACCCTGCAGCTGCTGGGGAAAGACAGCATTAGGCACTGCTATGCCCTGCAGGTGAGTCTCCCCTGGCAGTATGGGGCATAGGACACACAGGCACATGGGGTGTGCCATGGGGTCTGCCAGGGCGTGAGCTGGGCGCAGCCTCCTCCAGCTTCCCCTGCAGACCCTGGGCAAGGTGCAGGGCAATGGTCTTGGCTGGGGCTGAGCCCCTCAGGGTCCTGAGCTCCAGCCTTGGCCCCTGCTTCCAGGTGCCTGGGGCAGGGGGGCTTCCAGAGCTGCCA